GACAAAAAATCCAAAAAGGTAACAAAAACTTTAAAAATAAACAAAAAGGCTGAGAAGGCAGCTCTAAACTCACAAAAGTCTTCTCTGGCAGAACACAGAACACAAGAACACAGAACATAGGAACACAGAACATAGGAACACAGAACATAGGAACACAGAACATAGGAACGCAGAACATAGGAACGCAGAACATAAGAACATAGAATGCAGAACATAGAATGCAGAACACAGAATGCAGAACACTGAAAACGGAACATAGAACACGGAACACGGAACACGGAACATAGAACACGGAACATAGAGCACGGAACATAAGAACACGGAACATAAGAACATAGAATGTAGAACACAGAACACAGAACATAGAACACAGAACACGGAACATAAGAACACAGAACACAGAACATAGAATGCAGAACACGGAACACAGAACATAGAATGCAGAACACGGAACACAGAACATGGAACACGGAACATAGAACACAGAACATGGAACACGGAACATAGAACACAGAACATGGAACACGGAACATAGAACACAGAACATAGAACACGGAACATAGAACACAGAACACGGAACACGGAACACGGAACACGGAACATGGAACACGGAACATAGAATGTAGAACACAGAACNGAACACAGAACACGGAACACGGAACACGGAACACGGAACATGGAACACGGAACATAGAATGTAGAACACAGAACATAGAACACAGAACATAGAACACAGAACATAGAACACAGAACATAGAACACAGAACATAGAACACAGAACATAGAACACAGAAAATAGAACACAGAAAATAGAACACAGAACACAGAACATAGAATGCAGAACACGGAACACGGAACATAGAACATGGAACACGGAACATAGAACACGGAACATAGAACACGGAACATAGAACACGGAACACGGAACATAGAACACGGAACATAGAGCACAGAACATAGAACACAGAAAATAGAACACAGAACACAGAACATAGAATGCAGAACACGGAACACGGAACATAGAACATGGAACACGGAACATAGAGCACGGAACACAGAACATAGAACACAGAACACGGAACACGGAACACAGAACATAGAACACGGAATACGGAACATAGAACACGGAACACGGAACATAGAACACGGAACACGAAACACGGAACACAGAAAATAGAACACAGAACACAGAAAATAGAACACAGAAAATAGAACACAGAAAATAGAACACAGAACATAGAACACAGAACATAGAACATGGAACACGGAACATAGAGCACGGAACATAGAGCACAGAACATAGAACATGGAACACAGAAAATAGAACACGGAACACGGAACACAGAACATAGAGCACGGAACATAGAACACAGAAAATAGAACACAGAACATAGAACACAGAACACGGAACATAGAACACAGAACATAGAACACGGAACACAGAACACGGAACATAGAACACATAACACAGAACACGGAACATAGAACACATAACACAGAACACGGAACACAACACGGAACACAGAACACGGAACATAGAGCACAGAACATAGAGCACAGAACATAGAACACAGAACACAGAACATAGAACACAGAAAATAGAACACAGAACACGGAACACAGAACATAGAACACAGAACATAGAACATAAGAACACGGAACATAGAACACAGAACACGGAACATAGAACACAGAACATAGAGCACAGAACATAGAACACAGAACACAGAACACAGAACACAGAACATAGAACACAGAACACAGAACANTGTTTGTGGTTGTAATGTGACAAAATATGGAAAAGTTCAAGGGGTATGAATACTTTTGCAAACCACTGTATGTGCCGAGCTCTGAAGCTGGAAACTGAGAGAGGCATAACACATCTGTGCATTCCTGAGAAGAGGCCCCCCACTCTTGGACACTACAACTACTACTACTAATTCTATTAATAATAATAATATTTGCATGAAAGTACAATGGGTTAAAACTCCTGCCTCTCAGTAAGAAGATCACACTGTAAGAAACATGTTTTTAAAGAGAGGTGAAACATGAACCAGGAGAAAAATTCAGATTTAGACTTGAACATTTAATTGTAAAGAATAAAACCATGCAAATGCATCATCTGGACCAAAATCAGTTTAATTATTATTCTCAGGATATTTTGGTAAAGAATCATGAACATAGCACATATTTATCAATCATCTTCTGGGTCTTCTCTAACTTTTACCCTTTTTCAAAAATCTGATCTTTAATGAGAAAAGGCGTGTGTTACCTAATCTTGTCTTTTTAAAGTCTATTCTGTTTTAAGATGACCATTGACTGGGTCATTCAAAACAGAGTGCACATCAATTAATTACAGTTGAACCATGATACATAAAGAGAGGTAACGATGTAATTAGATGATCAAAAATAGCCTAGATCTCTAAATAAAAACAAGATTGTATAGTTCATTAAAAATCAGTGTTAAAAATAAAAAGATTTCCTTCAACACAATTGCCAAAGTGCCGTTTCTCCAGTGTTACTCTACAGCTCCTCTTTTAGAATCCTAAGATGTTTGCTGAACCAGAGAGAAGACGTTGTTCGTCCAGTGAGTATTCAAGGCTTTAGACTAACTTTTTGCACTGGTTGCACTGGTGCTCCTAACTTTTTTTCTTAGGTGCACTCAAATTTACAAATGCATTGCATTTAACACCAGTTAATCACAAATAATTAGTTAACGATCTGGCAAAAATAAAGTTCTATGAATATTTGAACCTGAATTGTGGACATACTGTATAACTTACTGACAAGTATTTAAAGCAGAGGTGGGCGGATCGATACTGAATATCGATAATATCGATACCAGCGCTGGTATTGATATTGGACAATACTCGTGTAAAAAGATTGATCCTCAAGCGTTGTTCTTTCCCGCACACACTGACTGCTGCACACGCAGATATTTCAAAGTCTACTCTCTGTCTGTAGTGCTGCACTGTCACACACAGAACAATTTTATTTAATAAAAGAAACAAAGAAACAACTAGGAAAGATTAGTGGTTTGTATAANACAGACTGTGACAGAGTGGTAAAGTCAAACATACACATAATTTAAAAAACACATTTAGAAATGTTTGGATGTATTTTACTTTAACGMTTAAACAATGAGACAGAAGTGTTGTTTAAACCAACATGTTGGGGGTGAATACTGATTCTGTGTTTCTAGTAGGATATTTACTAAAGTTCACTTGGTAAAACTTGAGGATTTGTTGTTTTCTGCATTTGTGTTCCAATATTTCAGAGAAAATGTACCTTTTTATTGTAATACTTGGAGGGAGAAAGCTAAATACACTCAAAAAGTAAGAGAAAAAAAGAAGGTGGGTGCACTTTAACTGTGAGCTGTTGCACTTGTGTTCACTATCTCAGCTGTTGTCAGGGCTGAGGTGTTTGAGGTCAGTYCTGGATCTGTTGGAACCACTTTTCCTCTTTGGGGGCCGAACCCTGGCACCAKTGAGCCTTGAGTCTTCACAACTTATCTTTCCTCATGTATCTCTTGGTATTTCTTTCTTCCTGATGTTACAGTTTCACATCTGCCTTCTCCTGTTAGGTTGGTTGCACATCAGCTGTTTGTCAGACTGAAACMGAAAGTCAGGCTAAAATTGTGAAAGAGTGGTTCAGGGAGCATGATACACACATGGATCAGCTACCACCAGTGGTGGGCACCAGTCCGCTAAAGCACAAACCCACTAATTGCAGACCTAAATATTTCATTTGAGCTTTAATGGTCTTACTAATTTTTATAATTCAGAAGCAGATTTGCACTTTCTAAAATTAAAATGCAGTACCACTAATAACTAATTATCTACCAGTCATCATTATGTTGAACAGCAGAAGGTATGACTGTCAACGAATCACAACACATGTGATCTATCCAACAGCACCCCTCCCAGATAAACACACTTATTGTGAAGGTATACATCCTGCTGACTGTTGCTTTGGATCACGGTTCTGATTTCCCACAATGCTTTGTGTCTGCTTACGTAGCAGGAAGGCAATAGCTAAAACAGTTAACGTTTGTAATCCATACTAAAATTTTGTATGTATTGATTTATTTTACTTTACAACCAGAGCTCCTTTTTTTTAAAAAAAAATAAAGTTTAAACACTGGAGCTCCATACTTGATGTAATTGGTCAAAGCAACGGGGTTAGAAACGCAGAAATGATTTAAAGATGTTATGCTGATAAAGACTGACATCTAGTGGTCAACAGGTGCAACTGCATGGAAAACATTAAAATCCAAGCTCTTATTTTGAAGGGAAGATAGTTTCCTGTACTCCGTGCTTTCATTTCCCATCACAAATCAAATCCGTCATGTATCCAGAATGCATCGCTTCAGTTTCCCAGTAAACAGTTCAGAATCAGCCGAACTAGCAATCCTCAACAACTTTTTAATTTTTACACCAGGAGCTAAAGGTCTGTTTCAGGAAATCACATCCCCAGCAATCTGTGCTTGTAGGATTGAGCTGTACAAGGGTTCATACACCACTAGTTGGCAGTGTTGTGCATATATTGTACATGAATTGCCAGCTAGTAAGTATCAAATTTAACTTGTGCTTTAAAATTAGCTTCCGCTAGTTTTTCTATGGCGTAAGTGCTTATGAAGTTGTGGACCTAAATATTTTCATAAGCGCTTTAGAAATTGTGGAGCTAATTTTTGGATTAGCACTGCCCACCACTGGCTACCACCAAATCCASACCTGAACCTACAGAGTCTTGGCTTGAACCGCATTAAGAATCYTTGTGGTGTGCTGCAGAAATGGTCTAAATCTCTTTATGAGTGTTCTTTCTGGATTATCAGTTCTTAGTTTCTATCTCTGAATTCCAACCCAACAAATTGTTCAGAACTGAAGACCCTCTGACTCTGACATATCAGGAAGTTTAAAGTTATCAGGTCACATATTTATTGAAACTGAAACAAAATGATTCAAACCAGAGAACACATTGTGTCTTTTTACTTCTTCTAGGCAAGGAATGCAGGCAGTCTTTGGACCCAGGACCCTGTCGACACTATGTCATCAAGTGGTACTACGACCCAGAGGCCAACGCCTGTGCTCAGTTCTGGTATGGAGGCTGTCAAGGCAACACGAACAAATTTGAGACTGAAGCCAGCTGCCGGAATGCTTGTGTCTACCTGTAATTACCTGTGTGGCGTGTTTGGTTTCCAACACTTTCAAGAAAATGATGTCATCAGTTTTCTTAGACCGCTAAAGGCAAGACTTGCTCTTCATCATCTCTTCAGCTGTCAGTGTGCTGACATGGAGRCACGTTTGTTACCTGCCGCACTCACACTGCTGAATTACCTGCTGCTAAAAGCTGAGTCATTTACCAGTTTTTCACTGAGTCACTTCTTTATTTAGCTCAGAAACGTAACAAAGAAAATAAATAAGATAAAGCAAAAACTAGTTCCTGTTCAACACAAACATGGAACAACATTCATTATTATATTATTGAATGTTGACAAAGAAGCAGCCGAACTAGCAATCCTCAACAACTTTTTAATTTTTACACCAGGAGCTAAAGGTCTGTTTCAGGAAATCACATCCCCAGCAATCTGTGCTTGTAGGATTGAGCTGTACAAGGATTCATGCACCGCTAGTTGTTAGTGTTGTACATATATTGTACATGAATTGTCAGGTAGTAAGTGTCAAATTGAAGTTACGCTTTAAAATTAGCTTCCGCTAGTTTTTCTATGGCATAAGCGCTTTTGAAGTTGCTATAAATAACTATCAATTTCTTCAAGACGTTTACAGATTTTTCTCAATTTCCTAACAAGTCTCAGAGGTTCTCCTTCCCACTGCTGCTAGAGTTTAACACTTTAAAAATAAAGAAAAAGACATTTTGTCTGACAGTAGTCAGAGTAGTCGTGGACCCTCACCAACCCTCCTGAGTTTTGTCATGGATTTCTCCAAACTGGACTTGATTAGCCCAAACATGTGTGGCCTTGGTGGCCCACCATAACTTATCAAACAGGGCCTATTTTGTTCACAATTTACATTTGTAGAAGAGCACTGACAGACTTACACTGAATGAAAAATGAACTAAAGTTCAATGGAACATAATAGAAACTGAAATAAATCTAAAAATATTTGTCTGTGATTCAAACACAAATACTTTTATCTAGGTATATTTTATAATAAAACACAGTGAAGTCATAATCACAACGATCAACGTAGTTAAATTGAACAATAAAAAGAAAAACACTTAATCACTTTTACTGTAAAATAATAGCTGATTAAACAAACTGTGCAAAACAAAGAACATTGAAGCAATTTTCTTTTTGTATGGTTTTTCTTTTTCTTAATTATAATGTAAAAGATTAATTGTTACTCTTTTCATTATGTAACTTTGATTTATAAAATGATAATAACTTCTAGTTAAAAAGAGAATATACTGTAAATCAAAAATATAAAGAACATTATTATTTTGCTTATTAAAGAAAATAAAATGTCTCTTTTGAAAAGGGTCTTTTTAAACCAGAGTCAAAAACAAGTGGAAATGTTTATTTCCCCTTTGGGGAACACTACACATTAATGCAAAGTGTGAAAATTTGAAAAATGCCTCATCACTTTTCTGCTGATGATTGTGTAATCTACTGTTGTTCTAATTCACCTGCTCAGGCAACTAAATTTSTATAGGCTGCTTTTGATGAAGTGCAGTTTTGTGTTTAAGTTGGTTTTAAATGCACAAAAATCGATAATTAATAATGCTTTTCTCAAATACATCTGTGCTACCAGAGAATGCCCTGCTAATAAAAACCCAACGTGCAGTTCTTGAAGAGCTTTCTTTTAATTTCATGTGAAACAGCTTATCTCTAAATTAAGGGTGAGGCTTGGGTTCTATTATTGGAACAAATGTTTTTCTCTAAGAGCTCAAAAACTTTTGATCAGAGCTACTTTTTTGCCAATACTTGATTATAATTTTGTTTATGTGTGCTTCAATTAGCTGTCTACAATCCTTGACACCAGTGTAAATTGTGCACTGAGGTTCATCCAGTGGCGTCACTAGGCCTTTTTTAGGGGGGCTGGAGCCCCCTAAAATATTTTAAAGCCCCCTAAATTATTTTGGTGAAAAAAATACTTTTTACAAAAATTCAATATGATGTGGTCAGAATACATAACCATTTAATATATTCATTATTAACTAAAATATATGATCATAAATCTGTCCGTTTTCTTTAATTTATTGCGTAAGGTAGAGATCCTCTTTGATGCATCGTTATTCAATCCATTCCACTTGTTCARAGAGTACTCCCCCASCACATGAAATCCAGTGAACATTTTTCCTGCAACCTTAATAGCAGCATGCTAGCAAGTTTAATTCAGTTTATTTATCTAGCATCAAGAATCACAGAAGTGCAGCATAAAGGCTCAGTGAGCAGACCAGGAGAATGCTCAGTGAAAAGTGGATATACGAACGTTTCTCAAGAAAGTATTAATCTTCACTGCTGGTAGTAACCATAAACATAAAGAGTAGATAGACGGACCGCTAACGCTGCTGTCGCGCCGCGGGCCACCATCTTGGAAAAGTCATTTGCTCAATGAAGTATCAGCCTGTTTAATCAACCACAACTTCCTGAAAACTAAACTGTTTTACATACTTT